AGTAATAAAAATAAAACATAATAAAATAATTCTCACGACGTTTCGGCCACAACGCAAGCAGCCGTCCTCAGGTGGAGAACAGGTCTGTCGAGAAGACAGAGTCTGAATTGCACGCCCCAGGCTTGGAGCGTCTATTTAAGCTGGGATGGAGGGGGAAGAGCGTCTTGACAAAATAATTTGCATATCAAGAGGATTTTTAGCATATTTATGCAAAATGCAGATATGTGATTAGTACTACTTCTGAAATGCGTAGGGGTTTGGCGAGGGGTTTAAAGTCATTATGCCCGTGCATTATGCAGGATTAGCAGCATCAAAGGGAGGGGATAGGGGTAGCATTAATAAAGGGAAGGAGTGTTAATAGTATGTAGCTGCAGTAACTAAAACCACCACGTAAACAACTAAAGTATAAACTACATAGTATCATCAGTATACTAAATATACTCTACAATAAGCTGAGTTACTAACAGTAAGTAATACATTACAATTCTACGTCGCAAAAAATATAATATGCTTCCATCTAAACTTTATTCTCTTACATCACACGAGTCTACACCGTACTATATATTGCCATAGACAAACCCAACATTAAATTATATACTGTATTGCTATAAACCACCCTTAACCTTATACATTGTAATATTACACTATGTATTATTCTACCCACCCTAATGTATATCACACTGCTGTATATTCACTATACAATTACGATACTATATATTACTTTGTACATTGTATTAAGCATGTAAATTTTATACTATTTGTTATTATACACTGTACCATTGACCGTCGTGTGAAAGATACTAAGAGGAAGCAACGAAATATGTCAATGGGAGAGTAGTGGTAAGAAACTTGCAGCAGAGCAAGGAATCCATTCCCTGCACAGAATACAATGCCAATGAGTGGAACGCGTTCTGAAAGTCACCGTAAACGTGAACACAATCAGTTAAGATCCGAAATGGTTTATTACGACCTTCCAATGATTGCTAAGCCAGAATCTATCTTCTCGGTTGAAATTGTCTCTGTGTTTGTATATGTGGATCGACTCATGAACGAATATCTCATGGTAGCCAGATGGCTTGCAGAGAACCTCTGTCTTGAAGAAGTCAATATCATGTGAGCCCACTGAGTTGTAACAGTGATCTGCCACGGCTGAGGTGTTTGTTCTACCGTGTTTCAAGTCTGCTTTATGTTCACGGATGCGGTCCGAGACATGTCGTTTGGTTTCTCCACTGTAACTGCTACCACAGAGGCAACTTAGTTTGTAGACGCCAGGGTACTGTATGTCTGGAACCACATCTTTTACAGACGTGACCAGATCACGGATTTTATGTACTGTGTTGCATCGGACCTGGATCTTGTGTTTTATCAGGATTTTGGAGATCTTTTATGTGACCCCAGCAATGTAGGGTAAGGTGATGGTCTTGAAAGGCTCCTCAACAGGATCCTTCTTGATGGTTGGAGTGATGGCTTTGCGGATTGTGTAGTCGGAGTAACCATTAGCCTTAAGAGCTTGGCGTACTTGTTTGAGTTCACTGGCAATGTGTTCCTGGTCGGAGATGCATTGGGCTCTATGGTATAGAGTTTTGATGAGGGAATTCTTCTGGGATGGATGGTGGTGGGAATCCGGTTTTAGGTAAGCATCCGTATGGGTGGCTTTCCTGTAGACAGAATGGCTCATTGAACCATCAGGTCTCCTTTTAATTAGGACATCCAAAAAGGGTAGCTTGCCATCTTTTTCGACTTCCATGGTGAATCTGATGGCTGGGTGTATGGAATTGATGTGGTCGAGGAATTGGTCTAGAGCAGGCCGGCCATGTGGCCAGATGACAAAAGTGTCATCTACGTACCTCTTCCATAAGGTCGGGCGTAGAGTGGCAGTCTGGATGGCGTCGGTCTCAAATTTCTCCATGAAAACGTTGGAGCCCATTGGGGTGCCCTCAGTTTATTTGTTTGTAGGACGTGTTCAGCCGGGGCCCGTTCGACCTAGGGCGCACTAATCTGTCGCAGCACCACATCAACACGGGAGACGCCGCACGCCTGCGCCAAAACACATATAGAATGAGCCCAATGGAAAAAGGGCACATTCTACAAGCGGTGCAGGAGATGCTGCGGGCCGACATAATTTCTCCATCCTCGAGTCCCTGGGGGCACCGGTGGTCCTAGTCAAGAAGTCAGACTGGTCACTGAGATCTTGTGTGGACTTCCGACGCCTCAATGCCGTCACGCTGGCCGACGCATATCCCCTACCACGTATCGACGACTCATTGGATGCACTGGTGGGAGCAACATTTTTCAGTATGCTGGATTTATTGTCCGGGTTCTGGCAGGTCCCACTAGACGCGGACTCCCAGGCTAAAACAGCGTTCCGGTCACCACAGGTCCTGTTCGAGTTCAACTGCTTGCCTATGGGCCTCCAGACTGCGCCGGCGACGTTCCAACGCATAATGGAGTTGGCCTTTGCAGGCCTCCAATGGGAAACGTGCCTCATCTACCTGGATGACGTCATTGTCTTCAGCCGATCATTCGAGGAACACATTGACCGATTACGTCAGGTATTTCAGTGGGTGCGGAACGCGAACTTGAAGCTCAAGCCGTCGAAGTGCCACCTTATGCAGTCGTCGGTACGCTACTTGGGCCACGTTGTCAGTGAGTCTGGAGTGGCTACAGACCCAGAAAAGACGGCCTGCATGAGGGCCTGGGCTGTTCCCACAACGGTTCCAGAGGTACACCGGTTTGTGGGTTTCGTTTCTTACTACCGCCGGTTTGTACCCAACTTTGCAACCATTGCCAAGCCCTTGCACGTGTTGACGGCGAAGAACCAGAGGTTTTATTTGGGCCCTCAGGAGGAAGAGGCATTCCAGCAGCTGCGCTCGCGTCTGACAGATGCACCACCATTGGCCTTTCTGTATTGTGGCCTCCCCTTTATCCTGGACATGGACGCCAGCAATGTGGGCATCGGCAGTGTCTTGTCGCAAGTCCAGCAGGGTCGGGAGGTGGTTATCGCCTACGGTAGTCGCGTGCTTTCATCAGTGGAGCAGCGCTACTGCGTCACACGTAGGGAACTCCTGGCAGTCGTTCACTTCGTGCAGCAATTCCGACCCTACCTATATGGTCGCAAATTTACGGTCCGCACTGACCACGCGGCCTTGCAGTATTCGCTCCGCATCGACCAGCCTTCGGGCCAGCTGGCCAGGTAGATAGAGCGCCTGCAGGAGTACAGGTACCAAGTGGTACATCGCAAAGGGACCAGACACGCCAACGAAAACACATTGTCTCGAATGGCACCCCAGGGCCCTTGTGCATGCACCACAGGCGGGGCACGCTGCAAGGAGGCGCGGCCGGAGGGGACGGTCATCGCTCCCGTACGCACGGCGGAGGGCGCACAGGGTGAGGTCCAGCTGACTGACCACGACCTGGGGCTGACCTTGGACAATTGGAGACATTTACTGTCACAGCACAATTGCTGTATCAGCAAGTGACGTTTTCCACCTGAAAACGTGACTTTACCGAAAAAACCTAAGAGTATGAATCCTTGCAGTCACGAAAGCTTCAAATCTAGAATTCCTGAGCCAGTTAATGTCCTTGTTTTTGTCGCCATTAAAATAATGTTGAAAAATCCGCGCTGGTGCCCAAGAATAAAATGTATTGTGGGAATTGCAGGGCAAAGAAAATGGATCCTAACTGCTTTCTCTTGCCTTTGTACTGATCGTGTTTTAGTGTTCTCTGGTCTACAAACATTGGTGGTGAGACTTGGCCATAAAGAAGGCCGCTGTCTCTGGTGTAGGCCAATCAGTTACAAAGACAATGCCTTTACATTATCAGAGCATGTTTTGTTTGCATATTCACCACAAGTAGTGTCTGTGGTTAATGCAGACATTATTCCTTGCAAAAGTTTCTGTTTGGTGTTTTAACATCTTAACACAACTCCTGTTTTATTTCCAGAAAGGGTAACACTTATTATTATATTTTGATATTGGCAAGGGAGGTCCCATGAGATGTTAAGATGTTCAAATGCAAAATTGATGTCTTTTGCAAGGAATAAAGTCAGCATTAACCACACAAAGTATTTGGTGTTCGAACATCTTAACACAACTCCTGTTTTATTGCCAGAAATGGTAAAACCTATTATTACTATTATTTTCTCACACTTTTATACCGGCAAAAAAGGTACTATTTAGTTTTTACGCGCTGATGTTGATGTGATACAGTCGCACTACCCCTGGGGCGCCTGCCCCCCGCCCACATGAGCGGGTCACGGTGCCGGGTTCAGCAAAGGGCCTCGCCCGGTGGTTTGTGGCTCCACAAACTGGATCCTGAGCCCCAGCCACGTGACCGAGTTAAACGCGACAACTCCCACCGGTGTCTCACAGCTCGACTACTGGAACGTGACTTTGAGACAGGAACAAATTTTTTCATGAAGTAATTTAATGCGTTAAACTTAAAACTAAAAAAATGAGGCTCAAAGACGAAGATAACAACAACAATCTCGTGGAGTAGAGCGGCATGAAGCAACGAGTTTATTCGCAGCGTTCCCCTGCCAGTTCAGCTGATACGAGTTGAGGTGAGTTGAGGTGAGGTGAGTTTAGTTGAGGTGAGTTGAGGTGAGTTGAAGTGAGTTGAGGTGAGGTGAGATGAGGTGAGGTGAGTTGAGGTGACGTGAGTTGGGGTGAGGTTAGTTGAGGTGAGGCAAGTTGGGATGAGGTGAGTTGAAGTGAGGTGAGTTGAGGTGAGGTGAGTTGAGGTGAGTTACGATGGGGTGAGGTGAGTTGAGGTGAGGTTGAGTTGTGATGAGGAGAGAGTATTTGAGATTATGTAATCCTAGTCTTTTTTTGAAGCCACACCTGGAGTGGAGACATCTGTACTCGCTCACACGTCAACACATTCCAGGGCACGCTTCGTGATATGCAAATCAAACTGAAAGACTTCCTGCTTCCTTGTCACCTATTGACGTGGCTTGTTCCTCGTTTAGCATCTCAGACGCAGCCAGCGACAGCCTGAGAAACAGACAGCGACTGCCTGAGATACAGAGACTGCCTGAGCTACACTCAGAGACTGACTGAGCTACAACCAGAGACTGCCTGAGATACAGACAGAGACTGACTGAGCTACAGACAAAGACTGCCTGAGCTACAACCAGATACTGCCTGAGCTACAGCCAGCGACTGCCTGAGCTACAGTGACTGCCTGATCTGCAACCAGCGTCCGTCTCTGAGTGGAGCCCCAGGGCCATGGCGAGTGCGGCTCCCAGTGGTAGCGAGGCTCCAGGGGACTTGACCTGCCCCATTTGCCTGGACGCCTTCCGCTGCCCCTGCACGCTCAGCTGCGGCCACTCGTTCTGCCTCAAGTGCGTGGAGGGCGCCTGGGATTCGGCCAAGTCCTTCTCCTGCCCCCAGTGCCGAGTGACCTTCCCTCGGAAGCCCAAGCTGAGCAAGAACTTCACGCTCGCCAACCTGGTGGAGCAGCGCAGTGCCGCAGAGAAAATGGCCACCGTGGTCTTGTGTGACTTCTGCAACGATGGCACGACTGCTGCCTCGAAGACCTGCCTCAGGTGTGATATGTCATATTGTGTGACTCATGTAAAGCCTCATCAGGAGAACTCGAAGTTCAAGGACCACATTCTGGTGGCTCCAGGCACGAATCCTGAAGAACGTAAATGCAAGAATCACAGAAAGAGGATCAAGTTTTACTGCCGACAGGACGAGAGTTTAGTCTGCACAACCTGTACCATCGCAGGAGACCACAAGGGTCACGATGTGGCTACGCTGGAGGATGAGCACAAGACACAAGAGGTGAGACGGTCTGCGAGTGTGAGCGGGAGCCCCTCCTGCATGAAGTCATCATTTCCCAGCACGAACTAAACAATAACATCCAGCTAAATATCATTCCTCTATCAGCTGCCCATTGTTTCTTCACATTTTAACAGGCTTGTTTTACTTTAAAGTTTGCTGAGGTTGTCATAGTGCAGAAATAATACAACCACAAGTTATTATCAATCCTGTTGTTTGGCAAATTTATAAAAGTACTCTTAGCATTTTCTTTTTTACTGAAGAACTGTAATGCATACAATGTGTTCTTAAATTTACGTGAGTGCATAGACTGTGGTTTGTATAACAAAAAAGTGGTTTATGGTATAGAAGAGCAGAAACTTTTTATATTTTACCAAGTGAAGCTCACTGAGCTATGTAGCTTTTTTTCAGAGGCAACCTGGCTACAAATGGCAGCTCAACGAAGTGACTTATCAGGTCTAAATGTATAGCAGCCAATAACTCTAAATGCACCTTCCTAAACGTGGACAGAAAAACCGGAGGACCCGGAGAAAAATCCATGCGACCATGGAGAGAGACATGCTAACTGCATATATACAGGTATCAATGTCCGGTTCGAACCAACGACCTCCTGTATCGCAGGCAAGGCAGATAACATCTCGTCACTCCGGCACCCTGTCCACCCACTACTCAGCCCCGCCCACTACTCAGGTAGCCCCAACCACTGCTCAGGTAGCTCCACCCACTACTCAGCACCGCCCACTACTCAGGCAGCCCAACCCAACACTTGGTTAGCCCCACCCACTTCTCAGGTAGCCCTTCCACATGCTCAAGTATCCCCACCCACTGCTTAGGTAGCTCCATCCACTACTCAGCACCGCTCACTACTCACGCAGCCCCAACCACTACGCAGGTAGCCCCACCCACTACGCAGGTAGCCCCACCCACTGCTTAGGTAGCTCCATCCACTACTCAGCACCGCTCACTACTCACGCAGCCCCAACCACTACGCAGGTAGCCCCAAACAATACACAGGTAGCTCTGCCCACTGCTGAGGCAGCTCCACCAACAACTTAGGAACCCCCCCCCCCCCACTGCTCAGGTAGCCCCACCCACTACTTAGGTAGCCCTGCGCACGTTTGAGCTCCTCAAAAAATAAGTTCCCTGCAGCGCTTGCTCACCCAGCCTCGATCGATTCACGGGGGCTACTGCCCCTGTCACTGTGGAGGGGTTCGCGTGGAGCGGGGGTGAGAGGGGACGCTCAGAGAGTGAGTGGAGTCTCCCCTGGTGACGTCTCTCACAGAATCAAGTGGGAGAGGAGACGCGGGCGGTGAAGGAAAAGAGGAGGGAGGCGGAGGAGTCCGTGAGGCAGATGGAGGCCGCTCGCAGGGACGTGCAGGTACCGCGTGTGGACCGGACTCTGTGACCCCGTGACTCCACCCTGAGTAGGGTTTGTGATGGAGGATAACTCCATTCCTTCACATGGACTTCAAATTGGCTCCGAACACATCGTGGGACTCAAGACACACGGTCAATGCACCTCAATAATCAGGACGAGCAAAGAGGTGGTTTTCATCTCTACTGAGAAACTCAATCATTGGTTGAAATACACATTCCCATATCTCCATACAACTTACCAGTTCAACGTCTGTTATCTATATTGATCAGATGAGGTGCTACATACCTATTATCCAATACTCTGGTGGCAGAGTTTGTAGATCACACACAGACTGTTGTATGCCATTTTATTGAAACCAATCAGGCATTAGAGTGACCAGGTGCAAGTGTAGTGGATTCACGGAGAGTGGAGGCGACTTGTAGAGGCAACGCGTTTATTACAACGGTAACAATAGCAGTCTCACACAAAGGGGCAGCGCCCCTTTACCCTTCTTCCTGGGGAGGTACGGCCTCCGGGCTCGCGTGCCCTATCACTGGGGCTACGAGCTTGACCTAGGGGAGGCTACACTGACCCAACCCAGCCAAGGTACGGGTCCCGACCACTGGCCCACTGAGTCCCAGCTCTTACAAGGGCAGCGGGTTTATGGGACACAGGGTCCTATGTTAGCTGGTCTTCTGGCTTCGGTCTTCAGACTGGCCCTGGACCCGTCCAGAGGTCCGGCTTTTATACATCTCCCCAGATGTATCCGCCCCTGGCCACGTCTCTCTTCCAGAGAGTTCCAGGGGAGGTCTCGGGGGATCCTAGTACACCCCACAGCCCCCCCCCCCCTGCTTTGGGGCTGGGGATTGTAACGACTGTCATGCCGTTCCAAGTTACTGCCCCAGGTGGGCCCTGTCTGCTACTGCAGTTAAGTACACAGCCCATTTACAGCGCTACACAAGTATAGCAAGTGTCTTCTTGGTTCTTTCGGTAAAGTCACGTAAAAGGAAAATAATAAAATAATAAAAATAAAACATTATAAAATACAATTCTCACGACGTTTCGGCCACAACGCAAGCAGCCGTCCTCAGGTAAAGAACAGGTCTGTCGGAAAGACAGCGTCTGAATGAGCACCACCATGTTTGGCAGCGTATATTTAAACTGGGTTTCGAGGAGGAAGGGCGCCTTGACAAGGGAATTTGCATATCAAGAGGAATTTAGCATATTTATGGAAAATGCAGATATGGGATTAGTCACTACTTGTGGAATGCTTGGGAGGTGGGGGGGGGGGGGTCTCAAAGTTAAATTATGCCCGTCCATTATGTAGGATTAGCAGCAACAAAGGGAGGAAGTAGCAGTAATAAAGGGAAGGAATTTTTAATAGTAAGGCACTGCAGCAGCCAGACCACCACGTAAAAAACTAAAATATAAACTACATCAATATCATCAGTATACTAAATATACTCTCCAATATGCTGAGCTACTAACAGTAAGTCATACATTACAATTCTTTGTCGCAAAAAATATAATATGCCTCCAGCTAAACTTTTTCCTTACATCACACGGATCTACCCCCGTACTATATACTGCCATAGACAAACCCAACATTAAATTATATACTGCATTACTATACACCACCCTATACCTTCGACTATACATTTTAATATTACACTATGTATTATTCTACCCACCCTACTGTATACCACACTGCTGTATATTCACTATACAATTAGGATACTATATATTACCTTATACGTTATATTAAACATTACACTTTTATACTATTTATTATTATACAATCTGCTATACACTATACCATTGACCGTCACGTGAAAGGTACTAAGAGGAAGCAACGAAATATGTCAATGGGAGAGTGGTGATAGGAGACTTGCAGCGGAGCAAAGACTACATTCCCTGCGTAGAATACAAAAGATATATAGTCAATGCCAGTGAGTGGACTGCGGTCTGAAAGTCACCGTAAACGTGAACAAAATAAGTTAAGATCCGAAATGGTTTATTACTTCCTTCCAATGATTGCTGAGCCAGAATCCATCTTCTCGGCTAAAATTGTCTTTGTGTTTGTATATGTGGATCGCCTAATGAACGAATCTCTCATGGTAGCCAGATGGCTTGCAGAGAACCTCTGTCTTGGAGAAGCCAATGTCATGTGAGCCCACAGAATTGTAACAGTGATCTGCCACGGCTGAGGTGTTTGTCCTACCGTGTTTCAAGTCTGCTTTATGTTCACGGATGCCGTCCGAGACATGTCGTTTGGTTTCTCCAATGTAACTGCTACCACAGAGGGAACTTAGTTTGTAGGCGCCAGGGTACTGTATGTCGGAAACCACATCTTTTACAGACGGGACCAGATCACGGAATTTATGTACTGTGTTGAATCGGACCTGGATCTTGTGTTTATTCAGGATTTTGGAGATCTTTTTTGTGACCCCCGCAATGTAGGGTAAGGTGATGGTTTTGAATGGCTCCTCAACAGGATCCTTCTTGATAGTTGGAGTGATGGCTTTGCGGATTGTGTAGTCGGAGTAACCATTAGCCTTAAGAGCTTGGCGTACGTGCTTGAGTTCACTGGCAATGTGTCCCTGAAGAAGAATTCCCTCATCAAGACTCTACACTATAGAGCCCAAAGCATCTCCGACCAGGAACACATTGCCAGTGAACTCAACCATTTCGGATCTTAACTGATTGTGTTCACGTTTACGGTGACTTTCAGACCACAGTCCACTCACTGGCATTGACTGTATAGTAATGCAGTATATAATTTAATGTTGGGTTGGTCTATGGCAAACCCAACATTAGATCTGTGTGATGTAAGGAAAAGTTTAGCTGGAGGCATATTATATTTTTTGCGACATAGAATTGTAATGTATGTCTTACTGTTCGTAGCTCATCATATTGGAGAGTATATTTAGTATACTGATGATACTGATGTAGTTTATATTTTATTTTTTTACGTGGTGGTCTGGCTGCTGCAGCGCCTTACTATTAAAAATTCCTTCCCATTATTACTGCTACTTACTGCCTTTGTTGCTGCTAATACTACATAATGCACTGGCATAAAATGACTTTGAGACCCCCCCCCACCTCCCACGCATTCCACAAGTAGTGACTAATCCCATATCTGCATTTTCCATAAACATGCTAAATTCCTCTTGATATGCAAATTCCTTTGTCAAGGCGCCCTTCCTCCTCTAAACCCAGCTTAAATATACGCTGCCAAGTTGGTGCTCATTCAGACGCAGTCTTTCCAACAGACCTGTTCTTCACCTGAGGACGGCTGCTTGCGTTGTGGCAGAAACGTCGTGAGAATTGCATTTTATTATGTTTTATGTTTATTATTTTATTATTTCCCTTCTACGTGACTTTACCGAAAGAACCAAGAAGATGAATCCCTGCAGTCACGAAAGCTTTAAATCGAAATATAGCAAGTGTTTTCATGATCCGTTCTCTTCATCCATACATCTCGTTTTCTGTCACATTCAATACATTAATTTAAAGAGGAATTGGCCTAACTTCCCATTTCATTAGGGCTCTACTTGTTATAGGCAAATTACAGATTTCCCTTCGCTTCATGTGAAGGTAAACAAAGCACTGTCCTGATAGCCTTGTGCAATGGGAATGGCACAGACGCTAAATGTACTCATAATGGTATTTGATTATTTAATTGCCTCACAGCCCCCACCGGTTATGGCGAATCGTGTGGAAGTGAAAATGCACAGTGGCGTTATCAGAGGTAGAAGGAGGCCTCAGAGCTACAGACTCGTATCACTGTCTGGACACCTTGGAGTTGCACTCGGGTGACACCGACCTGAATGTCATTTCACAAAGAACCAGACATTTAATGAACAGAAGTGGCATTTCTTTCTCTTTGCAGGGATCCTTGACAGATGAAAAGGCCTCAATCTCTGGCAGATTCGCCCGCGCGAGAGCAGCGTTGGATGCAGAGGAAAAGGCGGCTTTAGAACAAGCGGAGCAGAAAGGGCGCGACCAGCTGTCCCAGATCGAGAAGAAGATCGCTCACTACCAACGCGAGATCAGCGAGCTCCAGGCAGCAGCCACTCGCCTGCAGGCCCTAGTGCAGGAGAGGGACTCGCTCGCGTTCCTGCAGGTGAGCGATGAGTCTCCAGTGTCGCTATTGGCACAGAGCCCTCTCACCAGCAGCAGCAGAAGGAGGCTCCTGAATGAGCTCACATCCACTGGACTTGAGAACACAGCTCCACTCATGGACTCGCATCGCAGCTGCAGTGACTGCCATTTGGAAGCCCAGCTCATATTTTCTCAGTTAAATGAATTCTCTCTCCCGTCCTTTAACAAATTCCCATTAAGTTTGTTTTATTGTGAATATAAACTAAATGTTATTGGATTTGCACTTTTTAAATAAACCCTACAACAACAATGTGCACGGTATTCATGATTATCATAAGCCATGCTCTATCCACTTATTGATGAAGTCCTCCCCATGCCATTGCCACATCTCATGATGCTGCGATGCAACAATCCACCAGCGCCTGCTCACGAGCCAATGTCATCTCTGCTTCTTACTTTGTGGACCTCTTCTTGGATGCGCGACCTTCAGTGTTCATATTCGTGCGGCTAAAATAAATACGGTCTCATGCGCTTGTTATTCATATCCTTGTGTGTTTACCACCACTTCTGCAAGACCTGCACCATGTGCATTTGTAACACCAGAAATTACCAGTCCTAAGTTCTTCTCAACACAGATCAATATCAACCGGTCTCACTCTAAAATATTAGTCTTGCAAATCAGTGTTGGTTCTCATGCGGGTGGCGAGATGCTAACTACATCGCCTGGTATACCGGAGGTCGTGGATTTGATCCCAGACCTGACATCCCTATATATTTTGAGATTTCAAGTCTCTCTCCATGGTCGCATGGATTTTTCTCCGCGTCCTGCAGTATTTCCACGAGATGAACCACTTCGTTGAGCTATCATTTGTGGCCAGGTCGCTTCTGAAAAAGAGCTCTATTGCTCCGTGGGACTTATGTGGAAAGATTTCATTTGTTTATAGTTGACTTTTAACCGGTCTCTGAAATATTTGCCCCGTAAGTTAGTGTTGGCGATCATGGGGTCATAAGCCAAGACTTTGGGGTTTACATTCCACGGTGTTGCAGTGAGAACTCCACTGATCACAAGGGATTGGAGGTAGAGTCACAGTAATTCATCTCTCTCTCCCACAGGGGCACCTGGAGCAGAAGCGCAGGAAAAAGACGACTTTCACTCACGACTCAACACATGACATGGGACTGAGTATGGGGTGCGGGCAGTGAGACATTGGCTGTGTGTGGTGATGCCGTGTGATGTTGATGCTGTGTGTGGTGATGCTGTGTGAAGCTGTGTGGTGATGCTGTGTGGTGATGCTGTGTGTTGATGCTGTGTGTTGATGATGTGTGTGATGATGCTGTGTGCGTTTATGCTGTGTGTTGATACTGTGTGGTTATAGTAATTCTGTGTGGTGATGCTGTAATTGTGAGATGAGTGATGATGCTTTGTTTGATGAGTGCCTGTGTGGAGCAGTGATGATCCCACGCGTTATGATGCTGTTGTAGTGACATAAGAAGGGAGGGGCTGCTGGGGGCTCTGGGACCCTGGGCGGGCCAGGCGCTTAAGCCTCTTGGCGCCAGGCGCTGGGTTCCCAGGCGGGTCAGACGCTTAAGCCTCTTGGCGCCAGGCGTTGGGTTCGCGGGTGGCCCAGGTGCTTAAGCCGCTTGGCGCCACCAACGGGGGGGGGGGGGGCTGTGTGTGCTCTGTGGGATATCTGGAGGCGCACACGGCCCCACCCCTCGTTGGGGACTAGGCATAAAAGGGGAGCTCCCTGGACGATCAGGGCCAGTCGTAGCTCAAGACCCAAGACCCAAGACCAGCCATCTGAGGACCCTGGGACGCTGTGAGAGCCAGTGGTGGGACTCTGGAACTCCCGACTCTACGACCTTGTGAGGGCGAGTTCCAGAGCATAGCCAGAGTAGTGTATCTAGGCTGTGTACCTAGGCTGTGTACCTGGGAGTTGTTACAGAGTATCAGGACTGTTGGACTGTTGGAGTGCTGTTGGATTGTAATAAAGAAGTTACCTCTACAAGTGTCTCCGGAACCTGTTACATTTGGCGTCAGAAGTGGCCATGGAAACAGGAAGTAAGCCACATACCTTCAGTCCTGACGGCGATGTCGAGGAGCAAGCGGCGACGGGGCAGCCAACTCGGGCCGACAACGACGCCGCACCGCCGGCTGAGCAGCCGTCCACCACACCTGCCGATCCTCCTCCAGCGTCGGGAGCAGCAATGGAGGAAACGCTGCTTCGCCTCACTGAGCTGCTCCACGCCACCGTCTCCATCCTGGACGACATGCGTCGCTCACAGGCGGAGACAGGAGGGAGAGAGGCGGTGCAGCGGCCGCGCCATTCCGCCGCCTCCAACACAAGTATGTCAGCCGTTCCCGCCGCAAATACATCCGGCTGTGTCGTCACTTCTGCCGGGGGAGCAATGACCGCTGGGAGCGATGGTCAAAACAAACAACGCCGCGTCATCAGCGCTGCGTCCCTCACCGCCGAGTGACAGCGCTGCGAACGCGAAGCCAGCTTCAGCCGGGTTGCCAGGCAACGAGCGTGGGGCTCACGTCCAGCAACGCCTGCCGGACCTCAAGGCATTTTCTTCAGAGGGGGGTGAGTGGGCAGCGTTCGAACGCCGGTTCGTCTCTCTTATAGAGACGTCCGGCTGGTCGGAGTATGAAGCGTTCCAGGGCCTCCCGGCCATGCTCGACGACGACGCCCTCGCAGCACTTCTTGCGGTGCCATGAGCGAAACGTGCCATGTTCACGGATGCCCTTCATCAGATGCGGCTGATTTATGGACCCCCGTCCGAAGCACGTCACCGCTTCGATGCGAGGAGGAAGAAGGCCTTCGAGTCGGCGATGGGGTACCGCAGCGCGCTGCTGGCCATGGCGCGGGTTGCCTACCCTCGCATGGATGAAGACGCTGTGGAGTCGCTCGTGCTGCAGAAGCTCATGAGCTTGGCCCGCCAGCTTCGAGTTGCCATGCCGACAGCCGACGACGACTTCACGTCGTTACGTGCTGCCAGGTGCATCCAAGCACACCTACATTGCAATGAGGACACGACCATCGCCGCCTGCGCAGGCCCACCTGATGCACAAGCCTATGACATGCATTCGGGGCCTCATCAGGCCTTCGCGGCAACAGAAAGTCGCGGATCGTCCAACTGGCGATCCCAGCGAGATCACCACCAGCGGAACCGGCCAACCTCGCGCCAGGATGGGGCGTCCATCATCTGCCACAACTGTGGCCTTCGGGGCCCAGTGGCGTCCGGTTGCCGGGTCCCCCGACGCCGGACCTCAGGACCTCCGGCGCCTCGCCCACCACCGTATCCTCGGCATACCCAGGCGAGTAACGACACCTCGCACTCTCGGCCCCCACTTACAACAAGCACGCACCCTCACACCCCACAGGGGGGTCATGCTTTGGAGGAGGGGGATTCGGGCCCATCATTGAACAACCGGGCGCTCGGACCAGGTCAATGGTCCGAGTTGGCCCATAGGGTCGTTGCCGCGGCGGCAGGGTCCTCTGCCGTAGTGGGTTCCATCGAGGGCATTGATGTTCGTATGTTGATCGATACGGGTGCGTCGGCGACCATCATTTCAGACATAATTTATAACATTCTGCCCGATACATGCCGTCCCTTGCAGCCAGTTGATGTGCCATGCCATGCCGCAAATGGGGGTTTGTTGGGCATCACCGGACGGATCAATGCTCAGATCCGCATTGCTGACGTCCAATTAGTTGGGCCCATTTTGGTCTTATCAACCCTCGCCGTTCCGTGCCTCCTCGGAACAGATTTCTTGGGGAAGATGCCCATTAAAATTCTCATTAACAAAGGGTGTATTGAGCTCCCCTCCGGCCGACGCATGGCCTTCCTGCCCACACCCACTCGGTTACACTCCGCATCTACGACGGTGCAGGCGTTGGCGGCCTGCACAATTCACATTCCTCCCGGCTCTCAGATGTTAGTTCCTCTCCGGTTTTGTGAACCCCTTGACTACGACGCGTTCATGGGGGGTGCTGTGATCGGGCCTTCGCGTTCAGCTGAGCGGGTGTCGGACCTCCTGCGAAGCGATACGACCCCTTTATCCAGGTCCTTAACGTGGGATTGGAAACGGCCGTTATCTGTCAGGGAATGGTGCTTGCTCACACGACGCCAGCCCCGTCAGAAGATGTGATCGTGGGTCACGTAGGGGGCGAGTCTTCTTCCGTTGCCAAGCCAGGTCCTGACACACGATGGCTCGACGCGCTTTGCTCCACTTCTGCCGATTTGTCACCATTACAGCATGCTAAATTACGCACGCTGCTGAGCGATTTCGCCGACGTTTTCAGTCAAAGCAAATTCGACATTGGCTGCTCTAAATTGCTAAGCCACCACATCGACACGGGTGATGCCGCTCCAATTCGTCAAAACTCATTCCGGTTGAGCCCGGCCGAAAAGGAACATGTACGGGTGGCCGTCAACGATATGTTGGCGGCCGATGTCATTACGCCATCAAATAGCCCATGGGGGGCGCCGATCGTTCTTGTTAAGAAGCACGACGGGAGCCTCTGCTTTTGTGTTGACTTCAGGAAACTTAATAAGATTTCTGTGGCCGACGCCTACCCGCTTCCCAGGATGGACGAGTCGCTCGATGCCTTAGCAGGTGCGCACTACTTCTCCACCTTGGATCTCCTCTCGGGGTTTTGGCAGCTACCCCTTGATGACGCATCCAAACCAAAGACGGCCTTTCGCACGCCGCAGGGACTGTTCCAATTCAACAGACTTCCCATGGGTCTTCACTCTGCCCCGGCAACGTTCCAGCACCTGATGGAGCTGGTCCTCGCTGGGCTCCAGTGGGATTCTTGCCTAATCTACCTCGACGATGTAATCATGTTCAGCAAAACTTTTGATGAACACCTCACGCGATTGAAGGCAGTTTTCCTTAAAATGCGGGCGGCTAACCTCAAATTCAAACCGCAAAAGTGCCACCTCATGAGGGATTCGGTTCGTTACTTGAGCCATATTGTCAGCCGCTCGGGAATTGTCACGGACCCCGAAAAGACAAATTGCGTGCGCTCATGGCCAACTCCTACCTCTGTTGGGGAGGTGCGGAGTTTTATCGGCTTCGCCTCATATTATCGACGATTTGTTGCAGGATTCGCATCCATCGCGAAGCCCCTCCACGCATTAACGGCCAAAGGGGTAAAATTCCGTTGGGGAGAGTTAGAACAGGCATCGTTCAATGCCGTCCGAAAAGCACTGGTCGATGCTCCTACCCTGTCTTATCCAGATTTTACCACTCCGTTCATTCTGGATACAGACGCCAGCAACACCGGAATTGGAGGGGTGCTGTCGCAAATTGTCAATGGAGTGGAGCGCGTCGTCGCCTATGGCAGCAGGGTGCTGTCGCCCGCGGAGCAACGTTACTGCGTGACACGCTGCGAATTGCTTGCTATCGTTTTTTTCATAAAGCAGTACAGACCATACGTGTATGGCAGGCATTTCACAGTACGCTCCGACCACGCGGCGCTACAATACGCCTTGCGAGTGGACCAACCATCTGGACAGCTCTCGCGTTGGCTCGAGATCCTCCAGGACTTTGCATTCACTGTCATTTACCGCAAGGGGATTCAACACGGGAACGCCGACGGGTTGTCGCGACTGCCGAACAATGGGCGCTGTGCTTGTTTTTTGGGTGCGGGGCATTGTAGGCAGCCTGACGGGGTACCGCTCCCATCCCTTGCGGCCGCGGCCGGGGATGGGGTCGGGGACCACGGGGCTCCCTCCACGCAAGTTCCGCAGGACGCATTGCTGGGCCTCGGGTTGGACGACTGGGGACGTCTTCAGATGGAAGACGTCTCCCTCCTCAAATTGAGACGCCGCGCTAGGGATGCCGAGGGTCACAGGGGGCAGGGGGGCCCCGTATCATATGTCATCCGGGAAGGCGTCCTCATGCATTGGGATGGGGGGTCCCAATCCCACACGTTGGTGGTGCCCACCTCCCTGCGGGGGCGACTTGTGTGGGAAACCCACAATCGCCTCTTGCACTTGGGTGTTCAGAAAACACTAGCTAAAATCCAATTGGAATTTTTCTGGCCGGGCATGGCAAACGATGTGGCTGACCTTGTGCAAGGTTGCACAGAATGTGCACGGCGAAAACCACCTGCTAGGCCGTCCTGCCCGCCGCTCCAATCCATTAAGGTTTCCCGGGTCAATGAAATCGTCGTATTGGATATTTTGGGTCCGTTTCCCGCTACTCCTCGGGGTAGTAAGTACCTTTTGGTTGGGGTCGAATATTTTACCCGATGGGCCATGGCCTGGCCACTCCCCAACCAGTCTGCAGCAGCCATAACGGAGGCCTTTTTCCAGGGCTACGTCCTGGATAAGGGTGCTCCCGAACGCCTGCTGACCGACCAAGGGAAAAATTTCTCTTCCACCCTGTTGCGGGATGTGTGCAACCTGCTCGGGACACACAAAATTCGCACCTCGCCATATCATCCCCAGACTGACGGTATGGTCGAGCGATTACATAGGACACTTACCTCCATGCTAAGCCACCAGGTGTCTGAGTCACAGACTGATTGGGATCTCCACATACCTGGTGTCTTGGCCGCCTATAGAATGGCGCCCCATGCTGCCACGTGGTACTCGCCATTCTATCTTATGTATGGTAGGGAGGTTTGCCCCCCAATCGACGTACAATTGCACATTAAACAGCCCGCACCTAAGGCTAAGATTGCCGACCACATCCGTGCTAATGTGCGTCGTATCGTGGATGCCCGGGAGGCTGCTCAAAATAACTCAGAAGCCCGTCAGCTTGCCAACGAGCGGTTGCGGAATCTCCGCACGTCCCGCCACGTTTGGGTAAAAGGGGACCGCGCCTGGCTCCACTGCCCACAGGTACCATTGGCTACTTCCTCAAAACTGCTTAAGCCTTGGAGAGGCCCGGTTGTTATTATTCGCGTTCTCCGCCCGCAGTGTGTCAGGATCCAGCATGGCAAGCGATGTTGGTTCGTGCACCCGTCACGTCTAAAACCTTACATTCAACCCTACACACCTCCTTCACTTCTCCGGGGCCGAGAGCGCGACATGTCTGACGAGCTGCGCCGCGATGATGCTGCTTCTAACTCTCGGGCAGGTCCCGCTGTCCCGCCCTCGGGTGCTTTGGGAATGAAACCTGCCACGGCCGACCCAGCGGGAACAAGCTTGCCCGCGGGATCAGCGACCCAGGACACAAGCGCAACAGCGGGTCGTCGGTCCCCTCCCGCCTCCATCGCGACTGATGGACCTGCCACTCGGACTCGCTCCAAACTCAAACGATTTTCATGACCCCCGCCCACGAACTCTCGTCCCATAGCGACGCCACTCACCTTGCCATCATGTATAGTGGGCGATTGAGGCGTGCGTTCATCCTGCATATATGTGTTTATACAGTGTTGTTCTGCATCAGTGGCCTGGAGTTTTTTTTTATACGCGTGACCACAGGAGGGGGAGAGGCGCTTTCTTCTCATTTTTTTTTCTTGATTTGTCACACACTCATTCTGATGGTTAACAAAGAATTTATTGTACAATTGTCTTTTTTTTGACAGCCGGGTCGGCTGGAGGCTACGTAGAGGTGGGTAATGTAGTGACATAAGAAGGGAGGGGCTGCTGGGGGCTCTGGGACCCTGGGCGGGCCAGGCGCTTAAGCCTCTTGGCGCCAGGCGATGGGTTCCCAGGCGGGTCAGACGCTTAAGCCTCTTGGCGCCAGGCGTTGGGTTCGCGGGTGGCCCAGGCGCTTAAGCCGCTTGGCACCACCAACGGGGGGGGGGGGGGCTGTGTGTGCTCTGTGGGATATCTGGGGGCGCACACGGCCCCACCCCTCGTTGGGGACTAGGCATAAAAGGGGAGCTCCCTGGACGATCAGGGCCAGTCGTAGCTCAAGACCCAAGACCCAAGACCAGCCATCTGAGGACCCTGGGATGCTGTGAGAGCCAGTGGTGGGACTCTGGAACTCCCGACTCTACGACCTTGTGAGGGCGAGTTCCAGAGCATAGCCAGAGTAGTATATCTAGGCTGTGTACCTAGGCTGTGTACCTGGGAGTTGTCACAGAGTATCAGGACTGTTGGACTGTTGGAGTGCTGTTGGATTGTAATAAAGAAGTTACCTCTACAAGTGTCTCCGGAACCTGTTACACTGTGATGCGTCTATGTGATTGAGCTGTGATGATCCTGTGAGTGACGATGCTCTATGTGAGACAGTGGCCATGTCTGCTCTGCTTTCACAGGACAGGGAGGGCTACAGCAGCTCCAACATCAGCTCCCAGCCAAGAGGACATTGCCTCGCTTCAAGTCCTGGAGACAACTTCAGTCAAACTCCTGTGTAAGTTCTTCAGTGTGAATCATGGGTGATGGGGCCAACTTGACAACAAAAAATGTGTGTGCACGAGGTCGACTGAGCCTCAAATAATCACCATTAGGGAGACAAAGGCGGCCAGGTGTAGTGCTGGCCATCCACCCCCTCGTGTGTCATCCCAGCCTTCAACGTTGCTGATTTTACCCAACAGTCTGTAAAGGATACACGGGGGATGTCTTTGTTTACATCCTGGAAACTGATGCGGTGTGTAAACAAAATCGCCACTAGGGAGACAAAAGTGTTCGAGCTTGTGCCATGCCAGCCTTCATAGACGCTCACGGACAGCACTTGTCCCATTCCAGTACAGGGTTAATTGTGATGTTGAGATGGAGTGTGTGCCTGTGAATGTGTCTGCATTTATGCATGGGGGGGAGCGGTGGCATAGTGTTGAGCACACCGCACTACGAACCCATTTACCAGGGCTTGATTTCCCGACATGGCTAACATCAGTGGCAGGTGATATCTGATCCAGTCCTGGGCCTCTGCTCGGCAGTTTTTACCTCATTAGTTCCTGATGTTAGTAATGGTCATAATGATGGTGATAGTGGTCGTGATGAGGATGGTTGTAATGATGCTGTTAGTGATGTGAGTGATGGGAATGGTGATAGCATTGGTGATGGTGTTGGTCGTGATGCTAGTGATGGTCGTGATGGTAATGGTGACATTGGTTATATTATAGGTGGTGGTGGTTGTGATGGAATTGCTGATGGTGCTGATGGTCGTGGTGATGATATTAATTATGGTGGTCATGGTAGTGATGGTGGTGATGATGGTGTTGATGGTCGTTGTGATGGATATGATGATGCTGGTCGTGTTGTGATTTTGGTGATAGTGATGGAAATGTTGATGGTGGATTATGGTGATGACGGTGTTCTGTAGTAATGTTGGCATCGCTGTTGTCACAGACGGACGCTCACCGACTCTGGACACAAACTCAGCTCATAACAAACTCCAGATCTCCTCGGATCTCAGGACGATGACAGGGGTCTGTGCCTCCCAGGGTCGCCCCGATCACCCACACCGGTTTGATGGCTGTGCACAAACCCTGTGCTGTGAGAGCTTCTCGTCGGGCCACCACTACTGGGAGGTGGACGTGGAGGACGTGCGGTATTGGCGGGTTGGAGTCACGTACGGGACAATCCCACGGAAAGGGGGTAATGCTGCACAGTTGCTGGGAGAGAGCGACGCGTCCTGGTGTTTACAGAAATATGATGACAACTTCTCAGTGTTTCATGGTGGAGTGAAGACTGCACTGTCGGTGAGGGGGGCCCCCTCCCCCCGCAGAATCGGGCTTCACCTGCACTGGGAGGGGGGGCTCCTGGCGTTTTACCGCGCCGACTCCATGGAGGTGATCCACGAGGTTCGGCAGAGATTCTTGCAGCCTCTCTACCCTGCGATGTGGGTGAGGTGTTTGAATGATCGATTGAAGATCGTGGATCTGAGTCGTGCATCCTGAGGATGAGGAGAGATAGAACCCCAATAAACGGTGGAGAGGGAGATGGTGAGGAGAGGGCAAAGTGAGGGTGAGGGGAAGGTGGAACGGAGGGTGAGGTTAGGTGAGGGTGAGGGGAGGGTGAGGTGAAAATTGAGGGAAGGGAGAGGTGAGCATGGAGGGGTAGGGTGAGGGGGGAGAGTGAGGTTCAGGTTGGCGTGCGTGAGCAATGTTGCCGATGCAGTTCAAATCGCAGGTTTGTGTGTCCGCTCCTTTGCCTGCAGTGCGCGCTCACCTCACCACGCCTCCTCATTCCTGCGATTCACCATCAGCAACATCGTCACCATCACCAACATCATCATTACCCCATCATCATCACTATCAACAACAACAACCGCCATTCGCCACTAAGTGGCGGTGACGTCAGCACGACGCTTGTGCCAAGCCATGTGCACCTTGAGGCCACGTGAAGTGTCGAACGCCCGCTGGCAGGAGGTCATGGCGCAGACCCAGATGCCACGGGTCGACTGACTGAGACGACTGGCTGATGCACCACCTGCGCCCCCTACTGTGCCAACTTGCTGTGCATTAGCCACCCGGCGCTCCGCTTGTTGTTGTGAGCGTCACTCCTCCGCCCTCCATTGTTGTTGGAGGACGACTGCCTCCAACTGCCTAGTAGCGTCCTTCACGATCCTCCTCCACAGAGGCCGATCTTGACACCGCTGGTTCCAGTCATCGGCAAGTCCACTCAGTTCCACATCCTCCTGTACCACATCACTCCATCTCTTCTCTAGCCCGTGCCGCACCCGTTTAGCCCCCTCGATCCGGCCGAACAAAAGCTGTTTAGGCATGCGGTGGCTGGGCAGGCGGTCTACATGGCCCAGCCAACGCAGCCTTGCCTGCCGTAGGAGCTCAACGATGGGGCCTTGTCCAGATCTTTCAAGGATTTGTGAGCTCCTCACACAATCCAGCCTGGTTAAACCCAGGATGGATCGTAGGCAGGCCAGCCTAAATATTTACAATTGGCGAAGATGCTCCATTAGGGGGGTCCACGTTTCGCAAGCGTAGAGAAGGGAGGGAATGACTGTGGCCGAGAAGACCTGAAGCTTCGTGCGGAGCGAGAGACGCCACCTTCGTTGGTCGTAATATGCATCATCAGGGAAATGTGAGCATGAGGAAGACGACGTTTTTGCCACCCAATGGTGTGCAATGTACTGCTTGTCTATGAAAAGACGCCGCATCTCATGATGCGTATGACGACAAAAAATCCACAGACTACCTGCTGGATCTCCTCTCTGTTTCAAAGAACAAATTTGACCTAAGGTCTTCGCTCATTTACAAGCTTCACATTCCCTATTGCCGTACAAATACTGGAGCAAGGGCCTTTGCTATTTAAGCCCCCAGGGTCTGGAATGCTATTGCCAATAAACTGCAACTTGAATCACTACCTATGAGATCTTCACTCAAAACTGCTCTAGAGGAGTTGTACAACCCTTGCTGCCACTGCTATTCAGTGGCCTGAAATCAAATGTATCGCTCCGGATGACCGCTGCAAAGTAACATCTTGTGTTTTGATTATAGTGTGCTAATCTTTAAAGATACATTGAAACATTTTGATATTCCTACCGATACTCCTGCTGTTATGCAGTGACTCATGCAGCCAGCTATGGTTGCAAAGTTTGCTCGTACATGTTATGTGTATCGTTTATTGTTACATTTTTATCACAGTTCCTATGATCACTGTTACATTGTTTTTGTAGCTTTATTTTGGTGATTTCGAAAAGGTTCTGGTTTAGCCATATTTGTTTGTTGTAGTACAGAGTTAGACTGATAATCTAAATTGTGTTATGGTTCTTATTGTTTGACTTGCATCCCACTGGGATGTTTACACACAGCATTGATATACGGTGCTTTATCTGGAAGACTTTGCTGTTTTTTCCTGGATTTTTCTGTTGCACGTAATCACTTTCTGATGTTTCTTGTTCATGTTTTTGTTTGTTGCGGTTGCACCCGATTCAAGAGCCGAATGGCTCACAGGGCTATACCTAATCAATGAACTAAACTGAAGTTAGCTCCCACACAGCGTTACGCAACCAATGAAAAGATAATGCCGCTTGACTGATTCGGAGTGAGACCTCTGCTGTTAAACCGGAGCCGGTCATGAGCACACTACCCAGGTATAGGAAACTCTACACTCTCTCCACAACTGCCCCATCACTAATTGGGAGTTGTGGGGGTTGAGTGTCCGATGGTCCAAAAGACCCAGGCAGGTGCTTATTTTTGGTGGGGCTGATGGTAAGGCCCCAACTCCCGGTGGCAAGTTCCAGGTTCAGCAGTAGCACCTCCTACTCCTCCTCTGAGTGAGCAGCATTCACCAGATCATTGGCATACGTAACATGGTTGAGTAATAGGGAGTCATCCCTTGACCGCACCCGGGCATCGATCAGCCTCCCATTATATCTGGACCAGATGGAAATTCCTCCGGTACATCAATTGAAGCCTTCACGAACTACGTGGTCAAAATAGATGTTAAATAATGTGGGAGCAAGAGGACATCCCTGTCGCATCCCAAGGTGTACAGGAAATGGCTCTGACTCCCGGCCACGTAGTTTTCCCGGGCCCGCTCACCATCATGAAGGTCCTTAATGATCATGAGCAGAGGGTCAGGGACTCCGAAAGCACGAAGAACAGCCCAGAGCCCAGGCCTACTGATGGTATCATAGGCCTTGACCAGGTCAATAAAGCAGAGTTTTAGGTCTTGTTGGAATTTCCTACACCTCTGCTGTAGCAGACGGACAGAAAATATGGCATGTGCAGGACCGCCCTTTCCTGCCTAGAAAGTGCGTGCCTAGCAAGGCGATTTTGAATCATCCTTGCCAGGACCTTTCCCGACACACTAAGTAGTGAGATGCCCCTGTAGTTGTTACAGTTTGTGCGGTCCCCCTTCTTAAAGAGGGGGACCACCAGGGTATCCTTCCAATCCTGTGGAACCCGTCCAGTGTTCCAGACTATTGTTATGTCATGTAGGGCAGGCTGTGCACAAACACCACCCTCCCTCAGCATTTCGGTTGGGAGATCATCTCTGCCTGGTGCCTTTCCTGGTCTCAGACTCTGGATCGCCTTCAGTACTTCCTCAACAGATGGCACCTCAGCAGGCCACTCGAGCTCAACCGCCAGCCTGACACCGTCGTCGGAGGAGGAGAGGAAGCGAGCCGGCGCCTCCTGGCTCCTTTCTACCATAGGGAGGTGTCAGAGGCAGCCTCCTTGTGCTCCACTGCCCCTTCCCCGCTCCCCACCGGGTGTCCAAGCTGGAAACGTGGCCGGTTTCTGGGTACCGCTCTCGTTCCCTGCTGGCTGGAGTTCAAGAGCAAAGAGGCCTGGGGTCTTCCTCCATTCACCCTCTAGTCTCTGGTGGTGATTGACACTTTGTTTGCTGTAGGTGTTGTATCATGTGACACAATACACTACACTACTATACTCTACACTATACACTACACTATACACTACACTATACACTACACTATACATTACTATACACTAAACTATACACTACTATACACTACACTATACACTACAATACACTACTATACACTACACTATACACTACTATACACTACACTATACACTACAATACACTACTATACACTACACTATACACTACACTATACACTACTGTAGACTACTATACACTACACTATACACTACACTATACACTGCTATACACTACTATACACTCCACTCCACTCTACACTACACTATTCACTGCTATACACTACACTATACACTACACTATATACTACTATACACTACACTATACACTACACTATACACTACACACAACTCTATACACTACACTATATACTACTATACACTACACTATACACTACACTATACACTACTGTAGACTACTATACACTACACTATACACTACACTATACACTACACTATACACTGCTATACACTACTATACACTCCACTCCACTCTACACTACACTATACACTGCTATACACTACACTATACACTACACTATATACTACTATACACTACACTATACACTACACTATACACTGCACACAACTCTATACACTACACTATATACTACTATACACTACACTATACACTACACTATACACTACACTACTATACACTACACTATACACTGCACTATACACTACACTATACACTACTATACACTACACTATACACTAATACACTATACACTACACTATATACTACTATACACTACACTATACACTACACTATACACTACACTATACACTGCACTATACACTACACTATACACTACTGTACACTACAATACACTACTATACACTACACTATACACTACACTATACACTACACTACACACTATACACTACTATACACTACACTATACACTACTATACACTACACTATACACTACTATACACTACACATTACACTATACACTACACTATACACTACACTATACACTACAGTGACGCAGTAACTCGCTGACCCCGTGACCCCAACTAGACTCCTGCAGTCTAAACAAAGATTCTGATTCTAGTTGTTGAATCGATCCACAAAAACATGAACCTCGCCTCGGATCGTGTTAGAATCGTATTCAACTTAACGTGAAATCGAATCGCGATTCCGAATTCGATCCAGAAATCGACAAAAACCACCCGCCCCCCAACACATCGACGTCTTTAGAGGAATCGGAATCGATTCGTTTTGAGTACCCCTCTCCCCATTGTTGACGAAGTCGCCTCGCTTCCGGCGAATCCTCGTCGCCGTGAGTCCCCCCCCCCTCACCCCCCTCCCAGCCGTCTTTGTCTTCCTCCCCCCCCCCCCCCCCGAGAGAGAGCGACAGACAGAAGCCCCCCCCGCCGCCAAAAGGCCGAGGCGTTTAAACCACCCGCTGAGGCGAGGCCGCGAGAGACACCGCCCCTCGGATAGAATCCGTACCGGCCGAGGTGCGAGGTGCTCGGTAGGCCGGCCTAGGCCGATGCCGGTCACGCGCGGTCGGCGGCGGTGGGGA